CGAAATGATGACTTTAAACGAGACAGCTGATATTCTTGTTTCATCAACTTATTTGTCAATAATTTACCTCGTTTAGAAATTGTACATACGTAGAGCATGCTCTTGCGTATCGAATCAACTGAGAGATATATATACCCCGTATGCAGGTGATGATGGTATATTGCTGCATAAGTAAGGGAAGTTGACGATTGAAAAGTTAAAGTCATTACGTTTATCATAAAGCTTGGTTGTTAGATTACCATTAATGTCTTTTTCAAGTAAAATATCCAAATATGAAACAGATGTGTCAGACTCTGTGGTATCTTTTATCTCAAGTTCACAAGGATATATCGTATCGACATAAGAATGGAAATAGCCATTGTTAAGCATATGAAGTTTGATAACATTATCCTGAATGGTTTCTTTTTAACTGAGCTTAATACTAATTTAAGAAAAGTGAGGTCAAGGTCAAAAGAAAGGTCAAGGTCCAAATATGTTGATGCAGTTGAATAGCTCTCATCAGTATGTATCAGCATATGAACTTTTATAAAAACATGATGAATGGTTTCTTTAAAACTGAGCTAAACACTAATTTAAGAAAAGTGAGGTCAAGGTCAAAAGAAAGGTCAAGGTCAAAAAATGTTAGTGCAGTTGAATAGCATACATCAGTAAGTATCAACATATGAAATTTGATTTCACTATCTTAAATGGTATCTTTAAAACTGAGCTAAACACTAATTTAGGAAAAGTGAGGTGAAGGTCAAAGGAAAGGTCAAGGTCAAAAAATGTTGATGCAGTTGCATTGCTCTCATCAATATCTATCAGCATGTGAAGTTTGATAAAAATATCTTGGATAGTTTCTTTGAAACTGAGCTTTGAACTGAGCTAAACGCAAAGCGCGACGGAAGGATGAAAGGACGGAAGACGGATATGACAAACACTATATGGCCCGGCCATATTCAAGGCGGGGCATAGATTTGACCCCTAGGGCTCTTTTTCTACAACAAATATTTTTTTTTTTACTGCTGGGGGGAGGGGTCATTTTTTGTCGTTGAAAAATGACTCCCCGGTCATTCTTCCATGGGGGTCATTATTCGTTTTTACACCGCGGTAAGGCTCGCTTTATAAGTCATGGAACTTAGCCTTACCGAGTGTACACCATTAATACACGTTTTTTGTCGAACCTTATAAGTCTGACTTACGAATAGAACATTGCTCTATTTCTTAGGGTCGGTGTAAAGACGTATAATGACCCCCGTAGAATTATGACCGGGGGTCATTTTCCGACGTCGAAAAATGACTCCCGGTCATTATTGAATGAAAAATGACCCCCCCCCCCCTTCATTATTCGACGTAGAAAAATGACCCTTTCGCCCGTAGAAAAAGTGGCATTACCCTTAAAATCTGCATACTTTACGTGAAGAAAAATGATCCCCGTAGAATAATGACCCCTGTTAGATTTGATCAGAAATATATTTTTTGGATTAAAACAATTAAGAACCAACGAATCAAGAGGGCCATGGATCAAAATGCTCACCTGAGGTAAATTGAAGATATAGCGATGATCTGTTGTTCTCATTTAATCTTTCAAATGTCTTTTATGGTGAATTGACAATGTACCTTATGTGGAAATGCTTTCATTCTGATTGACTTATGTATCATTGTTTAAAAAAAAACAAACTTTTGTTTATTTTTGCTTATACTATCCAGAGTCCAGAAAGAGAGAGAGAGAGAGAGAGAGAGAGACTTATACTATCCAGAGTCCAGAGAGAGAGAATGTTTACAATGTCTATCTACCGGTTAATAAAGTTGCTTCTGAATGCCTTTTTAAGCCAATGATTTAAAAAGTGTACATGCATGTAATTTTCGGACATATAGCAAAAGTGCCTTAAAATTTTTAAGATAAGAAGAATTACTTTTTAGAGACTTCTAAAGTAACCGCCGCCGTCACGGTAGCTCAGTCGGTAAAGCGGTCGCCGTGAGTTCGAATCTCGGTCGCGACTGACCTGAGTCGATAAAAAATAGGTAGCAACTGTTCCTTCGACAAGCGCTCGGCACTTTGAAGTGAAAGTTGCAGGTCCTTCGGATATGACCTTAAAAACTGAGGCCCCGTGTCACGGCAGGCGTTAGCACGATAAAGATCCCTCACTGCTCAATGGCCCCGAGTGCCGAGTAAAGGTCTAAATTTGAGGCCCTTCACCGGTATATGGTGACGTCTCTATATGAGCGAAAAATTCTCGAATTGGACGTAAAACAACATACAATTAATCAATTTAAAATCAACCCGTTTGTTAATTGGCCATAAACGTCTATAATCAGTAAAATATCGAAATATGAAACAGATGATAAAAAGGATCAAGACTAGAATGTATGCTATTGCAAACAATAGTATGAGGGGCCGTTTTGGTATTTACCGCCATTAAGTGATATCACCTATTCGAATGTGTGATATCACCTTTTTAGCTTTTGAATTTGTGATATCCCCTTCTTGAATAGGTGATATCACTAATTCAAAAAGTGATATCACCTATTCGAATTAGTGATATAGCCTATTCGAAAAGATGATATCACCTATTCCATTTGAATGAGTGATATCACCTTTTCAAACAGGTGATATCATCTATTCGAATAGGTGATATTACTAAATGGCAATAAATACCAATGCTGCGCCTCATACAATAGAAATACACAATGATCCATAAATGATCTTGTAACGAAAGTTTTGTAACCCTGCGCGTTAATTCACTCGTTCGTTGTGAGAAAAAGTTTGTCCAATCGTTTTCACGGCAATGGAAACAGTTTTAAAAATCTTACATGTAAATTTAAACGCATTTGTGAAGTTTCACAAAGATTAAACAAGCTGACATTGAAAATATTAGTTGACAATTTTTCCCCATGACAACGGTGGTCAGTTTTAAAAATCAAAATGTTTAATGAACATCTAGAGTAACTGTTGATGATCGTCATTTCTGAAACGTTTCATTAAGTTTATCAAAGTCATGTCCGGGAAAATGTTCAGACAAAATAATAGGTCTGGCGATAACAATATATCGTCCTGACTTTCCTTTTACCAATAGCCACTGTGACGTATCTACTGTGCAATTTTAATTTTGGGCTAATACAATAGGTCTAATAGAAAGAAACATATGCAATGTTTTTAAACAAATTTTAATTGCGTGTTCGTCTAGTATTACATGTAATCAGAAAAAACGCAAGAGAATCCAAACCTTGACATCAATCATCTCTTTTGAACTTTGTATAATTCTGTTGGGATGGGTCATTTTTCAACGGGGGTCAATTTCTTATAGGTTGCACATATAAAAAAGTTACCCCTAGGGTTCTTTTTCTACAAAAAATTAAATTTTTCTACGGCTAGGGAGTCATTTTTCGATGACTCCCAGGTCATTATTCTACGAGGGTCATTATTCGTCTTTACACCTGGATTAACCAAAAGGAATTTTCAAAAATGTAATTACCAAAGCAATAATTAATAATGTAAATGAAGATTGGATTGAAGTCTATAGGGGCAAACACATTTTTGAGAATAAAATTTTAAATACTAAGCATATCAATAAATTCTGTGGTGTAAAAATGTATTTATTTACAAGAAATAGGAAAACGATTGAATTTTTTTTATCAGAATGGATTTTTATCTATTTAAAGTATACAATGTAGGGGGAAACCTCTTCAAGAACAGGACAAGGTCATAAATTAGGACACAATGTGCTCTTACATACTGATGCTAAAACATGAAAATTATATCTAAAAATACTGAGTATTCAGCCCATTATTTGTTATGCATTCAATTTTTTTGAATTTGAGGCTGTTATGGTGGGATACCAACGATAACCAAAAATAAGAATACAGTGCTGAACTATGAATATGTACCAGGCAAATGACAAATGGTTGAGTAAAAGTGACATGCTTGTAGAAGAACTGGTTTGTTGGTCAGTGCATGTAAAAGGACATGTTATAGACACGACGTTAAGCTAAGGTGACAGTAATCACTGACTGATGGAATGCCCACTGTGTTTTATGTATAAAAAGGTTTTACAAATTCTTTGCAAGGGTTATTCCTTAGCAACAATAAAGCTGCATGTTTACAGATATGCTAAGCCTTAACTTTCATTTGTCGAACATCAGCAAATGAGAATAAAGAAAGTGTGAGATTACGACTAAAAAAGAGAAAGAAATATCCTGTTGAATTTTATTTTGAATATGAAACTGTATAATTCCATGAACAAAAACATTTATCATAACCAGATGATCGGTATCATCAATAATAGGTAATATGTTAACAACAAAGATAAAGATCCTACATACCAAATAAGAGCTTTGTATTGACGCTTATGATAACAAGTAATGTCAATACACAGTTCACAACCATTACGTATTCCCAGTGAACACGAAATCTTACTTCTTTCTGCTGCATAGTTTCATAACCAAGCGATTGATAATCTTAAATGCTTGCACATGCGCGCATGGTAACAATAATGTTTACATTCGTGTATATAATTTGACATAACATTGGTATCAATTTGTTCTAACTGCATTATTTAAATATAACTAACAAAGACCTAAATATATTAAAACAAATACCTTATTTAATTTTAATGTTTTTTTTTTTCCGAGTTGGCAGGTATTGTCCACAGTGGTCTACACGACAGTGGGGCAGCCGGTAAACTGGCATACCCCCAACATCAACAAATAAGTTGTGCCCTCCCTGACAGGAAAAGTAGCACGCTTGGTTGACCTCAATCGTGCTAAGGACACATTTCAACACAAATTATCTTTAATTATATTACACAATTTTGCTTTAGATTTACTTTGTATAAGATATAATTTTCAAAGTCAACATGACATATATCAACATCAACCATCACATATATCAACATCAACCACAACAAGTCAAGAATATAAACAGTTCAATGGTTAAATTGAAGGTGACGATTTCGCCAGAGGGGCACCGTAGGTGCCCACGCTACCTGGTGGGGGTAGGCAGCTTCAATTTAACCACCCACCATGGACCCCTAGCCTACTCAAAACACTCAGCACCCCATCCATTGTGAACACCACTCTCTCTTTGTCTCCACCACCAACTGTAGATTAAATACAATAATAAACCCGTTACTTTATTAAACTTCCATGCTGTATTAAAATAATTGACCTGATTACCCTACCAACTAAGGGTGCCTTACCATACCCCAACCCCTCCCCGGAATCTAGTACTTCACAAGTTGTTGTTTATTCTGCTCTGGGTCTGTTCATTACCTTAATATTTTTAGTAACATTAAGGGTTTTTTTTATGGGGGGGGGGGGGACTGAGGCATGAATAACTGGTGAAAGAAAATTATGTAGATAATACCAATCTCTAATCCCAATTAACCCTATTTTTTGTATTTTTATTTATTTATTCATTTATTTGCATAATTTATTTTAATTTTTAAAAGTAATTTGGAAAGTTCTTAACTACTTTCCAGCTGAGATTACAAACAAGATCAACAAGCACCGATTCTCTTTAAACCCTCCACCCCCCCCCCCCCGGATCTGCATACGGCTGCTGTTCCTGCATTGTTGACAATGTGACAAAGACAACGTTTTTAAATGTGTTATCACATTCTTACTTTGTAAATTGCAGAACAGGTTAATAGATACCTGATAATATTTGAAATTTTATTTTTTTTTTCTCCCTGCTACCTTTATCACCTAATCTGGAAAACCATTTTGGGGCAACCGTAGCTGCGCCAGTTCTAAAGGAATGAGGTTATACCACCTATTTCTGAAACCAAGCGCTGCCAAAGCCTCTCCATTTAAAATTGATTAAAATTTGTATATTGTTATTGCCTTCCAAACCGAGACACAATAGAGGACTACGAATTTTTTCCAAAGCATTTATAAATGTATAAGTACTGCACCAGACATGTAATGCATAATTATATGACTAAATCACAGGCACTTGGGGTATGGACCCCCCCCCCCTTTCCATTTTTTTTTTCTTTTTAAATCTGGGGTTGAGGCACCTTTTTCCTATTTTTGTATTCTAATATGCACTGTATGTTATCAATAATGTAACTCTTTTGTCTCTATAAGCTGTTTTTAAATATATCGTTTTCGACTGATACATAAAAAGAGAGTTTTTATGTATCAGTCGAAAACGATATATTTAAAAACAGCTTATAGATTTTAGATATACAGTTGAATTTCGGTATCTCGAACACTGGTATCTCGAATTCCATGGATATGTCGAAGTAATCTCGAAGTCCCAAACGCTTATTCCTTAAGTATTTTACCCTATATATATGTGTATATAGCATAAAAAACTATGTATAATTAACTTAATCTCATTATTATGTATGTAATGTATTACTTTTCGTTTACAATATATAATTTTTTTCTTTATTGTACTTCGATGTAAAAACATGAATATGTATTTACATTTGCTATGTTTTTCTACTAAGCCAACTGTGCAATTGATTTGAAGTTCATTTTTGTGTATACTCACTCGTAGAAATATACACGGTGAAACTCGCGGTAAAGTGACGTCACAAGGAGGCTACAGAGACGTTAATAAAAATGTAACGATATAGGGCAGCAAGAAATTCAAATATTGAGCATAATATTGTTGCTTTTGAACTTGTAAAATGTAAATATAAGGAATGTTTTTTTTTTTTCAGTTTAGTGTGAATTATTGGTGTGTAAATCACACAGACTTGCACGTAGGCATATTTTTCATGAAGCGCTAGCGCGCTTCATGAAATATGCCTACGTGACAAGTCTATGTGATTTACACACCAATAACTCACACAAAACTTAAAAACATTCCTTAAGTATGAACTATAAGAGTTGTATTAATAGCCACTATTAAGAGGGTCCAGTCCTGTGATAGAGCTGCCATATGAGTCAATATGGACTGCAGTGGGATGACATGGACTCACTATGGCAGCGCGGCATAAGTATGTTACATATTATAAATTAAATTTGCAAGCTGTACAAAAACCATTATATTGAATTATATGATATCTAAAGTATAAAGAACGAGGGCGCTTTTGAATGGCATTCGGCAGGAATGTGGGCGCACTTGAAAAGTGAAAATTTCATTGTTCTGTCACATGAAGTTTAAGCATTCTTTTGATGTATAGGGTTCCTGTGAAATTGGAAAGGGAAATATTTTCCCGATATTGTATTTTGATTTGCTAAAAAAGAACTTGGAAATTGGCTAGATGAGTCATTTGGTACAAAATGTTTTTTAAATACGTTTTTCTAAAACTTGCTATCTCTGGGTCATCTCTCCATTATATTGAAACGTTATTTGTGTGCATTTTGATTCAAAGAAACTAACAAACATTTGTATAAAAAAAAGGGAAAAAAATGGAGAGAAGACCCAGAGACGATAAAAAATTAACTTTTTCCAAAAAAAAAAATACCAATGTGTAAATGCCGTGCTTCATTGTCGCTTTAAAAACCATAAAGAGTATGAAGCGGTGATAGCTCAGTAGTATGCGTTACCAGTGCAATGAAAAAGAAATATTTTGGTTCGATCCTTGCATGGAGCGTTAATATATTTTTTTTATTACAAACAATGAATTCTTTTGTCAGTTTGATTTTATATACTGATTTATTTTCAAATAGAAAAATTCTGGTTCGATCTGTTGCATCGAAAGCGAAAGCAATTCTTCCAACCTACTGATACTTTAATATATACATGTAATTGCATTTAACTATACCCTATATGTATTTATTATTTATGTGAAGCGTTATACTAAGTTTCACATGTAAAATATTAAGATAAGCGGACTGATATATTAAATTTGACAAAGTATTTCAAACTAAATGTAACATTTTCCCATGTGCCTAACTTTGTAAAGTGTATCCAGCTGTGGTCAGCCGACCAAATCGTAGACATTTAAACTATAAATGTTTCGTACGCCTTATTTCTGCAGATCACACGCCAAACACGCCCATCTTCTTTATGTAATATGGATTATAATATACATTGTATCTTGATCATACAGGTATAAATAATGCATCCTGGGAGATGCAATAGCTATTGTATCACTTGGAGCTTAGTCGGGGCCCCATCCCCGATAGCTGCCTTCTTTTCAAATATAAGGGTATCTTCTTTGTTATAGATTAGGTCTCGGAAATAAAGTTAAAAAGAAATAAATAAGTATTTCACCCTGGGAATCTCGAATCCTCGGATATCTCGAGTTATTTTCTCGGTTGATATACAACTAATAATTTTGATAATAGAAGATACCTCCAAAACAAAATACCGTATCTTAAGCTATTTCCGTGTAAAACATTTATTATAAACAATTTTTCATGCTAAACGTGTTAAATGCGTCAAAATGTATATGCTCTCAGTTATATATAAATGATACTATAATCTTGTTAAAAACACAGTTTGTGGAATTCACATAAAGTTTATGATGTATAAAGAATAAAGAAATAATAAAAAAGTGTGAGCAGACTGTAGCAACAAAAGTATGTAAATCTATCGCACGCCTGTCATAAAAAATATGTCAATTCTTTTGATGACGCTTGTCCCCTGAAGAGATTAGGATATTGATTTATCCAAATTTTCTGGCTCACTGTAAAAAACCGACTTATTTTAACTTCCTGTTTCCAATAGCAATACTAAACAAATTTCAAAACGTGACAAAACAATGTAATCTGTATATGAATATGATAAAAAATACCTAAAATCTCCATCAAAAATAATCTTCAAATGTCATCTCATATTGACATAACCTACAACCTTTGGTGGTTGGGTTGGTTAAATAGTCATGGGGTGTCCTTTTCTTCATTCGTAAAACTCAAAGTACCAATTTCAATTTCTTATCTGCATTCCAATTTCATGACACTCTCACAGAATCTTCATTACATAGTTCATTTTGCACCTCCTATTTTGAGTTTCAATTGGACAGATATTTTTGGTATAATATAGCAAAAATGCGAAAAATGGGAAAGATTTTCAACCCGAGGGATATAGAAACAGAGGGCTACATCATTGCAGCTATGAAAATGAAAATTTTGAAAAACAGTATCAGTATAATTGCTTTAAACATCAACATCAATGAGGAACTAAAAAGAACAGACATAAAAGGGCAGATAGAATTGATTGTCCCTCAGCGACTCTTTCCTTCTTAGAAGCATTTCTACAGAGTTCGTGATTAAGAAATTAACAAAATTATCTGAACTTGTCACTGATTATCAAAAGTTTCAGCAATTATGTTTTATATAATCTGATTAATTTTTACAATGTACACATTTGAAATGTAAAAATATTTCATTATTCTATCTAAAATACATTCAACTATCTGTTGCAAAGAAGAAATGGAAATGTGCAAACTTTGTGTATTTCTAACAGTAAGGGGTAAAGATTAAAGATTTACAGTAAGAGGTAAAGACTGTGAAAATCTCATTAAATTTATTCAGTGGTATGGGAGGATAGGGGATAAAAATTGGGTATCCTCTTGTACTTTAGAAAGTGTCAAGGAGTGAATTTATGTATTTTCCTTTTACTTTGATGTTTCAGCATCTGTGTTATATTTATCAATTTGACATTTCTCCCCCTCATGTCCCACGATATCAATGACGTATTGTAAGTTTTACATTCAGCGTAGAGATAACAGGTTAAACATTTCCTGTCTTGAGAATTCTACCTAAATTAATGTCAACCATCTTTCTTTTGATGTTACAATTTATGGTAAATCCCAAACATAGACCCTGTCTGACCAGAACCTAAAATAGGAGATGCACAATAGCACTATTAATAAAGATTCTGTGAAAGTGACATAAAATTTAAAAAATATATATATTAAATTTTATTCAGTGGTATAGCAGGAGCTAGGATAAGAGGGTGGTACCCCCATTATCATAGAGATAATAGCAGTGTCCGTGTTTTGCAATGGGAAATCCCAAATATCTGTCTAATCTGAACATAAAACAGAGGTCACAATGACACTACGTAATAAAGATTCTGTGAAAGTTTTACAAATTGTTATTTAGTGGTATTAGAGGAGTTGCAGGTAATCGATGGGTTCCCTTACATGTTAAAGAAA